GTTCAAGACCCAGTACTACCAAAAAACAAAAAGAAAAAAATCAGATTTTAAAATTTAATCCCCAGAGTTCTCCTTCATCCAAATATTAGTTACTAGAATTTACAATCTAAGTTACACCTGGTTATTTTTCTTTCATACATTTCATTCTTACTATATTACACCCAGGTGATTACAGTATTCTTCTAAAAGCTACATCTGGTTTAGTATGTTTTTCCATAGATAATGCCCAAATGCTTTTAAACAAACCCAGATAAGAGAATGTAAATCATATTTTACTGTCTGGAAGAATATAAACCAAATTAAGAGCTATAGGAAACTACAAAGCCAATGGAGGGCATTGCCTGAATTTTAAAAACTTCATTAAACAATACCAAAAAAGATCTCCTTGATTTATAAGGTTCTCTCTGCAGTCATGTTTACCAAATTAAGTAAAATGACATTTAGCAGATATATTTTTAAAGTGTATCTTGCTAATGAGTATTGTATTTCATAAATATTTGTCTACCTATTTCTCTATGATTTCTGTCCATGCTGCATTACAAGATGTACATTAGCAGCAATACCAACTTTTTCTAATGAAAATTCTATAGAAGGTGGATGACAGATTATATTTTTTAGTCTGCCTGTATTCAACTGCTTTTGGTTTTACTGGACTGATTTGCTAATTCTTGTGTGCTACAGTAATTGTCAGATAGATGGTTAAAAAAATATAGAATGATTAAAAATACAGAACAGGAGTGCTGGAGACAAAAGGGGACTTACAGCCATCTAAGTCAAGCGCAAATGTTTCTAGGCTTATTTCTGTGCAACTTCAGCACAATTAAAACAAAAAAATTACTGGTCTAGGGGCTGGAGGTGTGGCTCAAGTAGTAGAACAAGTTGCCTAGCAAGCACCAAGCCTGGAGTTCAAAACCAAATCCCACTAAAACAAACAAAACAAAAAACTGGTCTAGCAACCTGTTGTATGTATCAGCAGATTATTTTTTTAAAATCAGTATTAACACCACTAATCTAAGTTTTGCTTCTAGAGAAATCTTAAAGATTATTTTCCTCTGTCTTTAACAACTAGAGACTTTAAATGCATAAAATTTCCCAAATACACACTAGTGAGTAATAGCTCACTAAAGTACCATTCCTGGGTTGAAGAACCATCCACATCCTTCTCTCTAGCACATGGTACTAGGGCTTGAACTCAGGGCCTCTACCACTAGGCAGGCACTCTACCACTTGAACCACTCTGCCAGCCCTGACTTGTATTGGGTATTTTCGAGATAGGGTCTCTTGAACTATTTGTCCAGAGCTGGCTTCGAACCGTGATCCTCCTGATGGCTGCCTCCTAAGTAGCTAGAATTACAGGAGCAAGCTACCAGCACCCAGCTACCACATCCTTCTTTTGTCTTTCAATTAGAAGGTCTCATAGTCTGGCAGATTACTATGTACAGACATTTTCACGAGCTGCTTCCTGCTCACAAACAAAATTCTCAGCAGTGACTCAAATTAAGAAATATCTGACCAGCTTACTGAAACTCTTACCATTATGTTTGTTTGTAAACTGCAAAGCAGAATGCAAAGACAAAGTAAAAGTGGAAGGTGAAGGCAAGTATGAACTTGGACTTTCTCCAGAGGCACATATGTAGTTTGATCAAAATGAAATCAGAAAGGACAGTTGATTTCCAAAACAGTATGTGATCCCACCTGCTATAAAATTTGCACGGCTCTGACTTTTTCATAAGAGGCTTCACACCTGGGTACGAAGAGTTATATTTTGGCCAGGCACAGGTGACTAACGCCTGAAATCCTAGCTACTCAGGAGGCATAAATCAGGAGGATCATGGTTGGAAGTCAGCTGGGAAAAGAGTTCAAAAGATCCTATCTTGGAAAAAACCCATCACATAAAAGGGCTGGCAGAGTGGCTCAAAGTATAGGGCGAGTTCACACCCCAGTACTGAAAAAAAAAATGCTACTTTTGGTTGGTTGTATTGGAGCAAGATGCTTAAGCTTCTTAAGGGTTATACAAGGGTTGTCACTACTTTGCCAAAAATGGCTTGGTTTGACAAAAAACCTTTAGGACACGATTTTCTAATCTCTTCCCCATTCTGAATTAGCCATGAGTGTATTCATTTCTGAATACTGTCTCCTGCAGGGAAGGCACTTCTCGCCTTCATGAGTAGATTTTCCACTACTGTTAGAACTATTCTACAGGAAAACACACACACACATACATACATACACCCCATGTTACCAACTGAACCTTCAGGAACATGGGATCCATTTCCCTAACCTACTTCATGTAACCCACATGGAAATTAACTGGGCATGGAGTAAGCAGGTGGCTCAGATACCCACCTTGAGGCCAAAGTCTTGCTGCCCAACCCTCTGGACCCTCTCCTACAGGGCCATCCCTAGGGAGGCAGGATACAAACTGCAGGGGCTATTTACAGAAACTTCACTCTCTTTTGGTGTTTTAATTTCAAACAATCTTCAGGGTCCTTTTCAGATTCAACTTAACAATTAGCTAAAAATAGCATGAATTTGCAACAGCCACCCCATATGAAGACTGAGTAAGTACTGAATGTTGTTGCTGTCAGCTAAAGACCTCACGTGACGTGGCAGAGAACATAGTTTAGTGCTAATAAATTTTAGATATATATATAATGCATCACATTACATATTTATAGACTATATGAAATACTTAGCTTAAAAAAACTGCAGATACCTTTAAAATACTTCCAAAAAAGTCTGATTGCTTTTTTTTTTTAATTCTTCTTACTGTGGACTTTTTGTGAGTATGAAATATTTTCTTGAAGTAAGAAACTACTAAATGGCTAGAACTTCATTTTGCCTAAATGGTGGTAGTTGTAAAAGTGGTGGTCAAGATCAACAAGATTAGGGAATACTTCAACCTAAGTCATACAGGCCACCCTCTTAGGTGCCAGGTATACAAAGACAAAGAGGCAGTTTCTGACCTCAATTATGAGACAACACAGAGAGAAACATGAAGGAGCCCAGGCAGCACAGAAGAAGTGACACTACAACTGCCTAGAAAGACATCATAGAGGTGACAGCTGCCCAAAGCACACCAATCATGACTATGAACATCCTGCCATAAAGAAGGGTTAAGCAGTTTCCCAGGGCTTGGCCCAAGTAAATATTCAAAAGCAAAGAAGCCAGGAAAGAATCCCAGTATTTGGGAGGTTGAGACAGGAGGATTAAGAGTTTGAAATGAGCCTGGGATACATAGCAAGTCCCTGTCAAAAAAAAAAAAAAAACAGCCGAGCACTGGTGGTTCATGCCTATAATCCTAGCTACTCAGAGGCTGAGATAAGGAGGATATGGTTCAAAGCCAGTCCAGGTAAATAGTTCAAGAGACCCTATCTTGAAAATGCCCAACACAAAACAGAGCTGGTAGAGTGGCTCAAGTGGAAGAGCACCTGTTTAGCAAGAATGAGGCCCTGAGTTCAAACCCCAGTACCACCTTTATGTATGTGTTCTTGGTCTCTCTTCTTGGTGATGGCAGTGTTTTCCATCATTCTCCAGAGGCTCAGATTCTCCAGCTGAAGGAAAATTCTTATACACAGAAAGAGTTCCTCTTTGCATTTGGACTTTTTGGTCAGTATGAGTCATCTCAGCTGACATGGGAACTGCTATTTATGTCACAGTCACAGATGGATCCTACTGCAAGGGGGCCATGACAATTGCCCAAATAGCCCTTCTCAATTTGCAAAGAGGGAAACAGATCTAGAGGGTGAAATAACTCTAAAACAAGGACTCTAAAACAAGCCCCTTTCCATCTAATTTTACAACTTTTACCAAGTTATTTGTCAGAAAAGGATCTACCTTTACTTCTTTTCCCTTTTTTAGCTAGCTTCATGGTTTACAGGAGTGTTTCTCTTCTGAGCCTGACTACCATAAGCACACAGAAGGAAAGCCAAGTACTGTAATCTTCATTTCTACCATGAACACATTGTTTTCTTTTTTTCTTTCTTTTTTTTTTTTTTTTAGCAGGATGGGGTTTTGAACTCAGGGCCTCACACTTGCTAGGCAGGCGTTCCTGCAGCTTGAGCCATTTCGCCAGCCTAGATGAGCACATTGAGACTTTGGGGATAGAGCTACCTGCCCCAAATCACATGTTCAGCAACCAAGAGAGCTAGGGACACTCCAACCCTGAACTTCTGACCTGGCAGGCTCTTCCCCATGCGCTCAGTCTCCTTGGTTTCTTGGTGTTCACACCCCAACACACTAAAGTCTGGAATGAAACTATGATTCAGAAGTCCTTACACAAACACACAAAACAGTGTATGATCAGAGTTTCACACCTATTTCCACTGCTTCCCCATTTAATGTATTTTGGAGAAGGTTCTACCTCAGTACCTAAGAGTTGTCCCATCATTTTTATTATTTTTGAGACAAGGTCCCCAGCTGGTTTCTGCCTCTTCCTTCCAAGTGATGGTATTATAGGCATGTAGTACTATGCTTGGCTGCCCCATTATTTTATGACTAGCCAGCATTTCATTATACAGACGTAGTACAATAATAAATTAATTAATAATGACAGTCTTTTATTCAACTTACTTCTAATCTTTTGCTATTATAAACAGTGCCACAATGGATATCTTTTTACATAAATCACTTCACAAATATGTAAGGACATGTGTTGATACTAAGTAGAGCTGCTGGGTCAAAGAGTATATGTATTTTTAATTATGATAGTCATTGCTAAATAGCCCTACATAGGTTGTGCCTTTTATACTTCTATCAGCAATGTGTGGAGTGCCTTTTTTGCCACTCCTCTATTTCTCTACCTTTCCCAACTCAAGTACCATTCACATCTTAAGTCTTACTGACACATGGAGTCGGGGATGTAACGCAGTGGTAGAGCACATACTTAGTACATCAAAGGTCCTGGATTCAATCCCTAGTACAAAACACACAGAGTGATTCTGGAAGTATTCCAGAATCACTTCCTATCTTTCTTTTTGTTTTTATTTTTTTAATTTTACCTTCTACTGTTTTATAACAATAAAATTGAGGCTAAAGAAGAGAATAAACTTCCCCTCCAGAAACGTCAGCCAAAAACAGCAATTCTTTAGCACCAGTCTATGTCCAGCCATGCTCCAGTCAAGCTCACGTTGGTTTGTCCCTTCTGTGCTGGCAGCACATCTGCAGGGGCAAGAAACACAGAGGTTGTGATGCACACAGATAAGACAACGTAGTCAAAGTCTCAACAGATAGAATATAACAGGCAAAACCAGCAACCTCAGCCTTTATAATAGACAAGATAAACTTTAAGAAAAAAAAAAAAAAGCAAGTCCAGTCCAGCTAGGTTGATCCATCCACCAGCTCTTTTAAACCTAGAACAGGCATCTTTTTAAGGATGTATCTACAGGTTACTCCAGAGGCACCTGCACACCCATGTTTATTGCGGCACTATTCACAATAGCCAAGTTATGGAAACAGCCAAGATGCCCCACCACTGACAAATGGATCAAGAAAATGTGGTATCTATACACAATGGAATTTTATGCAGCCACGAAGAAGAACGAAATGTTATCATTCGCTGGTAAATGGATGGAATTGTAGAACATCATTCTGAGTGAGGTTAGCCTGGCACAAAAGACCAAAAATCATATGTTCTCCCTCATATGTGGACATTAGATCAAGGGCAAACACAACAATGGGATTGGACTTTGAGCACATGATAAAAGCTTTAGCACACAAGGGAGGGGTGAGGATAGGTAAGACACCTAAAAAATTAGCTAGTATTTGTTGCCCTTAACACAGAGAAACTAAAGCAGATACCTTAAAAGCAACTGAGGCCAATAGGAAAAGAGGACCAGGAACTAGAGAAAAGGTTAGATCAAAAAGAATTAACCTAGAACCACACGCACAGGAAATCAATGTGAGTCAATGCCCTGTATAGCTATCCTTATCTCAACCAGCAAAACCCCTTGTTCCTTCCTATTATTGCTTATACTCTCTCTACAACAAAATTAGAAATAAGGGCAAAATAGTTTCTGCTGGGTATTGAGGGGGTGGGGCAGAGAGGGAGGGGGCGGAGTGGGTGGTAAGGGAGGGGGTGGGGACAGGGGGGAGAAATGACCCAAGCCTTGTATGCACATATGAATAATAAAAGAAAAAAAAAAAAGGATGTGTCTATCCAGAACAGGTATCTATTGGCCATGAAACTGCATTTAGAACACATAACAGACTATAAAGACAGCTAACAGTGATTTTGGAGACAACACACACACACACACACACACACAAAGTGTATAAATGAGGATTCTGAGTTACAAGACACTAAATGAACAAGTAGATGCAAGTCTCATCTGACTGAGCAGAGCCCAGGAAGGGTTCATCGGGTCAACCTATCCAAATTAGATTTCAGCTAGACTTGACTTTCTCTTTATAAAATTCTTCATATTCCACATATAAGAGAAAACATATTATGCATCTTCCAGAGTCCAGCTTATTTCTCTTTGGCTAGACTTTCAGCTAGACATTATAATAAATGTCTACTACTTGAACATTCATCAAATAGAGTTATTTTGAAAACAGACCTTTATAAAACTGCTGCATAGAATTTAGCCTTGGGGCCAAATTACTGGTCTGTGAAACCCTGTTATCAGAAAACCAGCTGGCGTCCGACATCTGACGTGATCTGCACTGGACTGCACTTTTCTGTGGAGGCCTTTTCTTCCCCATCTGCGGTCTCTGACTACCATGTGGTTTTCTAAGATTGCGCATTTGCTTAATACAACAGTTAAGAGTCTCCCAGTTCTCAGTCACTGCACAGAGGTCATAGCCACTGCCAGGCCTCTGGGTTCCTGACCAAGAGAAAACATGGCCTAAAATTAGTACAGACCCTCCAAATCATGTAATCAAGGCTATTATCCACTAAATGCACATTCTCAACCTGACTGACTCATCCAAGGACTCCCCCCAAAGCAAGAATCAAGCAATGGTTCTCTGCTTCCTTGGAGGAAGATAGACCTTGAAGACATGAGGCCTAACATCGGTAGTTCTCATAGGTCACAAAACCCTTTCCCTTGCATCTTTATGTCATTTAATTTTCACATTCTGTGTGAAGATAATCAAGATGAAGAAACCAATACAAGGAAAGATAGGTGCACAGCTCATCAGCTGCATCTGCAGCAGAAGCAGCGCCCCCCTCCAAATCTGAGGAACGTATCCACAAAAATCAAATCACCATTAGTATATATCCTAAAACCCCACTCCTCACTCACCCCTCAAGAAATAAAGTTGGTTTGCTCTAAGAATTGTTCAATGTAGTTGTGGAGGATTTCTTCCTTCAAGTGTTTTCAAATGGTACCATAAAAACAGGCCTAAACTTTTCAATGATCTCTGACTAAATAAATAATAATCATATAAAATCAAATTTTTTTCACTGAAGTCATTTCACTCAAGGACAAAAGATATAGATCTTGTTAAAAATCTCTGGGTTTGGGGAAAAGATTTATTAAGTTAAAATATAAAAAAAAAACAGTTGTATGGAGTTTTCCAAAGTATATGTTTACATAAAGTGTAGAATTTTTACCTTATTACTATTCCTCATAAAAGTGTCATTATTCTACCCAACAATAATACATGGCAAACACCCAACTGATCACACTGTCCATCCCCTGGTAGGCAGGCACAGGACACCTCCTACAATAATTCCTTACCATTCAACAACAATTTCTTTTCAAAAACATGTTCTTCAGTATGGACCTGGTAGAAGTTTAAATGATTTGCAGCTCTAATATCCACTACATTGCCAATGCCAAGAAAACCTAGGGTCTAAAGCAAAATACTATACAGTACACCAGGTTCCAGTCCCTATCTGCAACTAGGTCACATGATTTTTTGACCTGGGTTTCATCATCTGCAAAAGGTTGGTGTTGGATTATGTGACCCCTAAGATCTTTTCTTCCAAGTTCTCTGATTCTATGACATCTGAAAATTAATAAGCTAACTTGAGCTACTTGTAAGGTACTCTAAAGCAGCACTAATAGAAATATAATGTGAATCACATTGTGAAATTTTATGTTTTTGTAGCAACCTAGCCTCACTAAAAAAGAGAAACAGGTGAATTTAATTTTAATAATGCATTTGACCCAAATATTAAAAAAAACTATTTTGCTGGGTGCAGTGATTCATGCCTATAACCCAAGTCCTTGGAGGAAGAGGATGGTGTTTGAGGCCAGCCTGGGCTGTAAGGGGTGACCCTGTCTCAACAAGCAAAGGCATTAACATGCAAACAAAATAAAAAATGATTGATATTAGAAGTGATAAACACACCCAACATATACAATAAATCTTAACCAACATGAAATGTAGTCTTACGAAACAGTAAAGGCATATTTAACAAAAAATATTTTATACTACTACTGTGTTTACATTTCAATAAAAGTTTGTTAAAATTTAGAATTCAATTCCTCAGCTACACTAACTACATTTCAGCAGCACCAAAGGACAAGTGCAGCTTGGACAGTGCAGCTCTGAAAACAGCCTACAAAGTGAGCTCTCTAGTACTTAGGAGTGAATTCTATTAAACCAAATGCTTCTGGTTTGACAAATTACTTCCTGAGAATATACTAGAAACATCAGCCTCCAAACTACACTAGATAATATTTACATGTTAACAATTATTTGAAAAAAGCTATCTCAATGATCTGATAGAGCTGGTGTGAATTCGAGTCACAAACAGGAGGAATGGCAGAGTGGCTCAAGTGGTACAGCGCCTGCCTAGCAAGCATGAAGCCCTAAGTACAAACCCCTGTACCACCAAAACACACACACATACAAAACAAATAGGGCTCATAATGACTAGCTGGATCACTTTTTTGTGGTACACAGCAATGCTATGGTCCAGGCATCCCATGATTACCATGATTATTACAAAAACAATCTAAACAATGTATGGAAATAAGGGGCTTAGGTGCTTACTAGCTCTTCTAACCAAGGATATAAATTAACTAAGTTCATAAATGATATTTCAATTGCTTTCAGATGTATAAATTTGAAAATACACCCACTTTGTAGCTCGTTGCCAGGCAGCAATTTGGATGGCTTAAAAGGAAATTATCATTAAAATACATATATTTCATTGTAGAAATCTTCTTAATGTAAATCATTTCAGTTAACTCACTAAATATGATGATGGCTGTTAATTTTTTTTGGTGGGTCTGAGGTTTGAACTCAGGGCTTTGCACTGGTAAAGCAGGTGCTTTTATTGCTTGAGCCACACCTCCAATCCATTTTGTTCTGGTTATTTTGGAGATGGAGGGGTCTCACAAACTATTTGCCTAGGCTGGCATAGAACCACAATCCTCCCAATCTCAGCCTCCCAAGATGTTAGGATTACAAGCATGAGCCACTGGCATAAGGGCAGGTAAAGTGGTTATTGGGAAACCTTCACAGTGAGATTTGAGATTGAAAGAGGACAGTGTGGAGATTCTAAGTCCAGATAAAGACAAGTATGACACAGTCTACATAATAACAATGGCCACCATTTATCACACTTTTTGGTTTTTTTCGGTGGGACTGAGGTTTTGAACTCAGCTTCACAATTGCAAAGCAGGTACTCTACCGCTTGAGCCACACCTCTAGTCCATTTTGCTCTGGTTATTTTGGAGATGGATCTCACAAACTGTTTGTGTAGGCTGGCTTCAAACTGTGATCCTCCCAATCTCAGCCTCCCATGAGGCATGAGCCCTGGCACCCGGCTTAGCACATCATTTCCATGTGCTCAATACACTACCTCATGTGGATGCACACCATCCCATCCCACCCAGGTGAGCAGGATTATCAGCACCATTTTGAAATAAGGAAGCGGAAGCATAGAGAGCTTTAGTACTTTTGCCTGAAAACCTCCAGCTGATTAGTAGTGATGAGCTCCAAAGCAGCCACGTTTACTTCACAGCATCAGAGTTCTTTCATTCACTCAACTAATACAGGCTTTTCCTTTGGAATAATCTAGGCTTTTTATAGAGAGGATGCTGAGGCAGTGGACAGCATGGCTTAGAAAAATGTAAGTGCCATTTGGGGCCTTTGCTACTAACTACCTGAATGGGTGATTGTGGCCAAGCCACGTACCCTCACTGTGTTGTCCACTATGGAAGAAAGCCAAGAGAATACCAATCCTCACAAAATGATTT